ATAATTTGCACATTCCTGCACACAGCAAAGATTTCTGTTATTTTGGGGCATCAGTAGTCGTCAACACATTGTCCTTCTATTCTTAAACCACATCGAAGTAAGTATGAGTTGAGACATGATAACACGGTGAACATAATAAACTGGTGGGTGCAGGATTTTACAGTCTTTTCATCTGATGTCTGGTCTTCATCTTCATCAGATTGTAAAGTTGTGCAGAAGAACCGGCTTCAGCAATGTTCCTGCATTCTGCTTTATTTGCCAGTAACAGTAGTAATTCTAAACATTCACAGCTTTTTCCCTAAATCGACATTTTAAGAGTGAATATTGAATATAATGACATGTTTATGTTTCCTCACAGAAGAGCTTCATGTGTGTTGAGCCTTTGAGGTCATCTTGACTAGGGATAGACCGATTATCGGCCTGGCTGAATGTCATGGCCGATGTTTGGTATTTCTCTGATTAGCTGTATTTTTATTGATCATTTATTGATAGATTAAATACTGACGCAGCCTCCCCTCTCTGCCTGTCATCGCTCTGAGGTCTCAGACATGAGACTACAAAAACAAGAAGCACAAGCAGGAAATGAGCTCCTCTCACAGTGGATGAGGCTGACAGCCAGCAGCAGAGTCTGTAAAACAACATCTATAAAACAACAGACAAGGAAAACAAAAAGAGTCTGGAAAACAACAAATGCATTAAGACGTGGACCTCATTGGGCAATAAAAGTAATAGAACAGTGAAGGATGAAGATAATAGAGGAGAACAGCCGATGGAACTGCAGGAGACGATCTGATCAAGCTCAGTCTATCCCAGAAATGAACCGCTCCTATTTCTATTTCACATATCCAGTTACTGTCACCCTTACTAATGAAGAAGCCTGGTTACTAACGACAGGTTCGCTGCTATCACGTGCTGTTAAAACACTACATCTGATGTGTGTTGGTTCCATCAGTTAGCGGTTCTCAGGTGAACAATCTGCACATTCCTGCACCTTTTCCTGCTTTTATATTCATTGCATTTTCTAAACTTGGCTGTCAGTTTGACTTGTAACACAACAAACAATCTTTTAATTGAGTATTCATGATGCACATTGAGTTTATTACACTAAAGGAGCTTCTTTAAAAGTCACTTTTCAGCCTAATCTTCCTGCTGGGACTCGTGGGTACAGATTCACAGTCTCATTACTGCAGCTGTTTGGATTGTATTTCACAACAACCAGCCTTTGAGGGCCAGAGGTCATCCTGAGAGTTCACTGCTTGGTTAAAAGAGTCTCTACAGCCGTCACCACCGAGCCCAAATCAAACAGGGACTTCACGCTGGATTCCCAAACACAAGTGGAGCCACAGACTGCACCAGCATCGCAGTCAAAGCAGCAAAAAAATTTAATTATGTTAATAGGAAAAGGTTTTATTCAATCATCCATCATCTCTACATCTTAATCCTCACCAGGGTTGTGGGGGGGCGGAGTCTATCCCAGCTGACTCAGGGTGAAGGCAGGTTCACCTGGACAGGTCACCAGTCCTATCACAGGGCTACACTTAGAGACAGACAACCAAGCACACTCACATTCACACCTACAGACACTTTAGAATCAGCAATTAACCTCAGCATGTTTCTGGACTGTGGGAGGAAGCCGGAGAACCCAGAGAGAACCCACGCTGCACGGGAAGAACATGGAGACTCCACGCAGGAAGATCCCAGGTGTCCTCACCGGGACGCCAACCGGCGACCTTCTAGCTGTGACGCCACGGTGCTAATCACCGAGACACCTGCAGCCCTTTTATTCAATCATTGTACAGATAACTTGCGATGCACATTTGTGGCTATCCACGTTGCCCAGTGACTGGAAGAACCACGAGTCATTCATTGAGCAGAACCATTCTGTGGGTCTCCAAGCAGGAGCTGCTGAAGACGGCTGGCTTATTGGTGGGTGTCACAGAGTGTGGAGATGTTTTAGCTGGACTTAGTTTGGTTATTAAAGCATCTTATCTGTAGTGATCTGGGTTATCCACTGGGTGAACGCTGGGTATTAACTCCTCCTCCTCCAGTTGTATCATTTGGGGACTTTCTCCTCCTAACTAGTTCCCCAGATCTGAAAACCTGCTTAGCAAAGACACTGACTCCGATTTTTCATTACTTTTGGTGGCCTTTACTAACAGCTAATCTCAGCTGTGACCTTTGCTTCATTTCACACATGCACACATCCTCCGTAATGAAATGAAGTAAACTATTTAATTCCTTCAAACACTTGTTTAAAATCTCAGGATGTACTGGATATTCCTCTTTTAGGTGGCATTGTATCGCTCAGTGCTCTGCATATCAGCTGCATGTAGACAGACATTTCCAGGTTGCAGTGCTGATCCCGTTTCCTCTCGAAGAAAATCTGTGTCCTGAAGGACGGCGCAGCTGTGAGCCGAGCTTTCATGTCTTCTTCCCACTTAGACAGATGCTGCAAGCTGCAAAAACAGCCTCTCCTCCCGAGAGCGGGGAGAGAAACTCGGCGAGATCAGGCCGATGCTTTCTGGTGGCACTTTCTGGAGGTCTGATTTAAATTCTCAACATGTTGACGGTGTGGTGCACATTTATTCTTGTTCACATAAGCAGGGGTTTTATTGAGCCATTCATGTGAGCGTTTCAGGGTCATTTAATAAAGAGTCAACAGTTTTTGCCACTGTATGCCTTTTAAAATTCACAAGCACAGAATACATTAAAAAAAAATGCAGCATGCAACCTCTAGTGAGTGTACAACCTTCTAGTACCAGATCAGACGTGCAGACAAGTGTAGACAGGAAGGAAACCGCTTCAGCAGGCTGTACTACTTCATTATGAAACAGACTTTTAAGACAAACAGAAAGGAAAGCATGATGGCTTCTTCTGACCATGAGAGCACTACAGTGACAGCGAATAGAGGATTACTCCAAGTGCATAAAATGGCTTTCCTACTTTCTTATTTCCTCTCCATATCAGGGCCTCAGTGCGTATCGGCTGAAGACGTAAAGGCAACAAGCTATTGGATGCAGCAGATCAATAAACCACTTCTTCCAATTAAAGATAATGCTACCAGAGGACACCACTGGACTACTGATGTGATGCACTCCTGTTTACAAAGTCCGGTGCACTGCGCCGTGACCGAGGCATAGAGGTAGCCATCCAGCCGAATAACAGTGATCACAGTGGTTTTGGCACTTAGGGGTCAAAGTTAAGACGAACAGAAATAGCAGAAGGGAGTGTTGGGCAGGTAAAGGAGTCAAAACGAGAGGAGGAGCCTGGAGCTTTGTGTTTAGAAACGTGCACGGATTCTCTCCAACGGATCCGTGTCCCACATCTGGGGATCCCAGGCCTGGAACCAGCCGGTGAAAGTCGGAGGCTCCGCTCCCTGTTTGATGGTGGTGATGGGAAGTCCTCTGCGACCAGACGGGTCCGAGTCCACGTACTCTTTAGCTGCATGGCGAGAAACGGGCGGAGAAAGGAGGAGGCAGAGACAGAAACGGGAAGTGGGAACGTGTTAGAATCTAACTGAACTTCAAACCCGCAAAGAGTTTTGTTTTACAGATTCACCCTGTTTTGTTAAATTACAGAGAATAGCTAGTAAAACCACAGACAATATGGACAATATTTTAACTTCTAGTTAACTGTAAAAAAAAAAAAAAACACACAAAAAAAAGCCCAAACTGTTAAAATCAACATCACAAATCTGTGTTTTCTCTCATTCATTCTTTTAAAATTACTTTTTTTTTTTTTTAGTTAAATCAGCAAAAAACATATAAACGTCCCTGTTTTGTTCTATTACAGATAATTAACATCCTGATAATGCCCACATCATAAATCTGTGCTAGCTTCTTCTTCTACAGTGTTCATGTGAAGTCACACGGTTTTGCTGCACCACTCAAAATATATTATTCTATAGATATATGCTATTATTTTAACTTTTTTTTTTAACGTTACAGTATCCTACTACTGTTTGATATATTTCTTCTGACACCATTGTGACTAGATTTTCTCCATTTCTTTACATTGCAGAGAAAAACCTGCTCCTCAGCCAAACCTCGACGCCATCAGTGACTCAGCTGCAGCTAAGAGTTCAGTGACAAAACTTCAGGGACTTCTCGGCTGAACTGCAGGCTGTGTTTACCCAGAGCAGACGGGAACAAACTCTAAATGGAAGTACTAAGGTGTCTGTTGTGTGCAGTCATTCTCTCGGTCATCGTGTTTCGTGTCCAAGAAGCCTTTAAGAACTTTTCCCAAACCCAGCTGCTGTGAAACCCAGACATGAGAGAACAAACCTATCTTTGGAGCTCCGTTCTTCTCCTCTGCATTCGCGTCTTTGCCGACCCAGAGGAAGATCTACGGGGAGGAGAAACACGTCCACGGTCACTCAGACGGACGCAGAACAGTTTCACAAGTACGTCATTTCCATCCAGTCCTTCTAACACCACGATGGCTCTGCAGACGGTCAAGCTTACCTGGTCCCAGGTGTCCAGGATCATGACGTCATCAGTGGCCAGATCGGACTGAGTGAAGTCTCCTGGAACCTCCTCCACCTGAGAGACAAAGAACACTCAGACTGACTGCGAGCAGGTCAGCATGTATTTGAACGTCAATCTCCACATGCGACTCCCCGACTTACGATGAGTCTCCCGGTTTTGTTGGAGCAGCCGAACAGACGCGGGGGTTTCACCGTGTTCTGCAGACTCTTGGACGTCTGGTATTCCTTCTTGCCCCCCAGAGCGGCCCAGAAATCAGCTGGGAGGGAAAAAAATGCACGAGTGTCAGCTACAAACGTTCCGTTGCATAAAACCGCCTCTTCGTTTTATCGAACAGGAAACGAACCACGACCTCTGTGGATCGTCTTTTAAAATCTAATCAACAGAAAAGTGGTGGTTTAGTCTCATCAGGCCCATCGGCCGTTAGCGGACTGATCTGAACGGCTGCACACAGTCTGCAGCGAGTAGACACGAGTCGCGTTTGTTTTTAGGATGATCAGCACCATTTTTAAAGCTGCAAAACAGAGCTGAGTGTGTTTCTCAGAGTTTTGTCAGAACTGGATCGAATTAAACCAAAGATATCCTGTTGAACATCACCTTTGTTAGACAAACGCAGGAAAAGGCACTTGATGCGACTCACTGCAAACTGGAACAATCTAATGCTGGACTCATTTCTAACCTTTGGGCAGGTAAGGTTTCTAATTTGATCTTACTTTAGTTCCAGCTGCTCTCATTCTAGTTGAACTTAAGTGCTTTCATTAGTGTTTTCACTGTTTTTATTACTTTAGTTCCTTATTCGTGTGCTGACATCTTTTATCCTCCCACTCAGCTACGTGCACCGTGTCCGACACCCACCCGGCTCTTTGCCCTCCGACACCTGGGTGGCGCTTCCTCCCAGAAAGTCCACCACGTGTTTGGCCGCCGCCATCTCCTCGTCGCTGGCGCCCAAGCCCTGCCACACCATCACGACTTTCAGGGTTTTCAGCACAAACGCGTCGTTGGTGTTCAGGTTGGAAGCGGAGGGCTCGACCTGAAGGACAGGAGAGAAGAGACGGAGATCAGAACTCCAGAACAAACGCGTAAACGTGCGCCGTGGCGGGAACTGGCTCACCTCCACGGCCCGGGTGATGCGACTGGTGCTCTGACGGATATGGAAGAGGCGAGTGCTGCCGGCCTGCGACTGGCCGCCTTTGCGTGACGTTCCTCCTCTGTGGATGATCATGGGTTTCATCTGGAAGAGGCTCATGAGGTGGGGAGGCTCCTGGCCCTGAGTCACTCTCACCTGCGGACAGGTGCAGCCAAGTCATGAGTGACACTCAGCAGAAAGGACAGCGGCTGTTCTAGTTCAACCTGCAGGCACTCGGGTATATAATTAGTAATGGATCGTTCCATCTCAAACCATCAGGGGCCTTTTATCATAAACTCTGGACATTTAAAACAGCATCGGTGAAATTTTAGATTAATATAAAAAGTATTTTTCAAGATAACATTTGTTAAAAAAAAAAACTGCTCGCTGACCCACGTTCACACACTTACATTAGAGTAATATCAGCACCACAATATCTCAGGAACTATTAAAGATAAAAGCCTGCAATGTTCTCTAATCATACTAACGATTAAGGGTTTGTAATACTGGATAAGTCTCTGAATGTGAAAGAGTTTAATTATTATTTAAATTTTTAAAAAAGCTGCTATGGAAAGTCTTTGAGGCCAGTTAACAAAAAAAATGACAATGTAGGAATCAACAAGTGATAGTTTCTGAACCATGTGCACATAACTGGAATAATAACATAAAGCAAAACACATAGAAAATGTCTAAAATGAAAAATAACATTTAAAAAAAGTGATTTTGTTGAAATGGTATGAAAAGCTGCACCACAAAATCATAAAGTCACATAGCCTGATCGATGCAGAACATAATTTTGATGTTGTTTTCTAAATATAACAAAGAAAACACATCCAAAAATACGTCAACTGATCAGAAAATGTATTTAACACAGTATAAAAGTCTGTAATGAATATCAACAAATATTTTGCATGTATTTTTTCTGGGGTCCAACTGACCAAGGCCTGAATCTTAGTTTTATATGAAAGTAGTTCAGTTTGAGGAACACTGGTGTCAAAATTAGAGCCACGCTGCCCTCTGCTGGCCATCCTCTGTAGTTTTTTGACAGGAGATAATTTACCGAATACTTTCCAAAGGTTTGAGACAGCACCTCAGACGACAGCCTTTTAGAAGTTATGTGCAAAGACCCATGACAAAATTCATTTTAAAAAAAGTAAAAGTTTTGTGCAGTTGTGAAAGTTTTGGTTGGTGATTATGACACAACTTCTGACTCAACTTCCACCGTCTGCTTCTCGTAGTCAGACTCCGGTAACACCACCTCTGTGCATTTATGCCAGTCACCTAAGAAGAAAAACTCTCCACTAACCCAAACAGCATTATCTTTTATTATTATTATTTTATTACTAATGTTGGAAGAAGTATTCAGATCCTTTATTTAAGGAAAACTACAATACTGCAGTAAAAGTCCTGCATGAAAAGCTAAAGTATGCGACTGATATATTATTAAATCACATTATTACAGTATTAATGGTGAAGCATGAGCGTGTTACTGCAGATTTTAACTACTTTATGGACAGTTTGATATGCAGGGAAAGCAGATTTTTTTTTTTCGTTTGTTTTTTTAAAATCTATTTTCAGTTTTTGAACGTTTTCCTCACATTTTTGATTTTGATTCCCACCAAGATATTGGAATTTTTAAATATTAATTGAACTGAAACAAAGGAAAAATCCCATTCAGTGGAAATGCTAACAACTCGTAGACATCTGAACTGTGACTGTAAGTTGTCAAAAGCCACAAAGGTAATAATAATAATAATAATAATAATAATAATAATAATAATAATACATTTTATTTCTATAGCGCTTTTCAACAACTCAGAGACACTTTACAGGATAAAAGAACCTGTGAGGTCGACATCATCGGTTTTGTATTAATCTAAAAGCATTTTATGTTATTCGTTGTGTAAAATCTTCACGTTAAAAGCTGGTAAACAAACATAAAGTGGAAACATAAAGTAATGTACCTAAGTGTGATAATGCTCTTCGGTCACGTGTTTGCATGTTTGGATTTGTTTTACCCCTATAGAACTAAACAGACTCGTTCCTATACGTGATCGGCGAGTCGAGTTCTGACCTGAACCGGGGCTCCTCCCATCGAGTCGTCCATTCTCACTGTGAGGAACGCTGAAGCTGCCAGCTCGTCTTGCGTGCACTTCAGCCCCTGCCTGACACAGTAACACACACACACACACACACACACACACAGAGCCGTGGGCTGTTACCAGGTGTGAACTCAGGGTGGGTGTGGTGCGATGAAGTCTGCCACAACATGTCATCAGCAGCCTGCTGCACACATTCTCCTCATGCTTTGAACAGAGCTCCTATTGGACCCACCAGGTGTAGATGATGTGCCGCTCCCTGCCTCCCGTCGTGTAGCTGTAGAGGATGAGGTAACAGTCGCCCCCGAAGAACTGACCGTAGGAGGCGGGATCCACCGGGATGTTGTCGCCGTTCTCAACGCGCCAGATCTGAACACAGCCAGAACCACAACCTTTACAAGCAGCTCACCAGCACTCTGCTAGTCTGGGCCGCGTTGTCACTGTTTCCTACCTGGATCTTGCCCTTGCCGTCGTCCACCATGCCGTGCTGGGCGGCCATGGCTTTGTTTGAGTGCAGGGTGGAGGCGTCGAAGGGCACCTGCTCCACTTTGGCTATGCGGCCGATGGTGTAGGCCTTAGAGGGGCCGGTGGTCTCGTCTTTGTCCTTCCAGTCGCTGAAGAACTGCTTGAACAGGGTCGTCTCGGCTCCTGCGGGGAGCACCTGGATCTGCAAGTCCGACTCCTCCGTTAGTGCAACTCATACGGGATTCTTCTGCCACAATATGTAGATGTTCTCTCGGGTTTTGCTTGTGATCATGCTCGTGTCGGGGTTACCTGTGTCTTGTTGGAGTAGCCCTTGTCCTTGATGAACTGCTGACCTGCGGACATGGCTGCTTTACGCTCTGAAGCGTTGGCCTTGGGACCTGTTTGGAGTCAGATAAGACGTGATTTATTGAGAAAAGGTCACTCTGCTTTACGTCACTCAGAGGTAAATATCAAAGCACAGCTGCAGGTATGTAGAGCAAATATATATAAAGAGGCTTGTTCAGAGTGAGATACCACAATAAAAGGTCATAACCGACCAGAACCATAATATTCTAAAAGTTAATTATTGAAAGAGAAACAGCATCTCTCTTCACCTCCCTAAACTTGTATTTTTATTTATTTACAATAAAACGCAAAGTAGAGCAGTTAATTTTTAATACATTTTTTATTTTTATTTTATTATTTTTCTTATTTTATTGTTATTTATTATTTTTATATATTTGTTTTCTTTTATGTATATATTTTCATTACCACAGTAGTAATTTTTTTTATATTTTTTTATTTTTATTAATTTATCATTATAATTTTATTATTGTTATTTATTATTTCTATATATTTTTTTAAATAAATATACTTTTATTACCACAGCATTTAATTTTTATTATATTTTTATCTTTATTATTTTATTGTTGTTATTTTATTGTTGTTATTTATTATTTTTATAATTTTTGGAATTTTTCTACATATTTTCATTAATCGAGTAGTTTAGATTTTTGCATATTTTTTCAGTATTTTTTTAATATAGTTTTTAGTTTTTATTATTTTATTATTGTTATTTATATCTTTTTATAATTTTTAGATTTTTATATATATACATTTTTTAAATAGATTTTTTTTCTTTATATTTTTTATTCCTGTTTGCTATTTGATGTGATCAAATAGCAAAGAGAAATTTTTAAAAAGTGCATTTCAAACAAGAGCCCGGGTCTAAAGAGGTTTAAGAAGAATCCGACTGATTACTTTGATCAAATTTTATATCTGTATTACAATAATGTTGTTATTGTGAATTCTTTTAGACACACTAATCTTGAACACTGTGACGGTGATATTAGTTCATACTGAGCTATGAAGCTCCTGGGAGGCTTAAAAACATCCTAAACTCAGCCCTGACTGAGATGACGGCAGATTCGTCTGTTTCACCGCAGCAGTGCCAAACTAAAGGCTATTAAATCAGTGCTATTGCGTCATAATGTGAAGAGACAGAGCAGCTTAAATCTCAAAGATGTAAAGAATTAAACTTTCCAGCTGTTTGTTCCTAGAAAAAACTCAGGATGTTGGCAGCGACGGAAGTAAAAAGTCTATGTGGTTTAATCACAAATGGTTCTGTTGCATTATCTACGATGCTGCTGTCACCTTTCCACACGAAGATGTTGTTGTCTATGCCGTTGTCCAGGATGTAGCACTCCTCGGGAGACAGCATGGCCTGTTTGAAGGGACTGGAAGGAGACACAGACGTCACCTTCATCGAACCGGACGCATCTGAGATCTGAAAAACCAAACAGAACAGAGGGCAGCATTAGCTCGCAGCACAGTTAGCATATTGAGATGATTGGACTGGATTGTAGGCGTTATTATGCTGTATGAGCTGCACACAAGGACAGGATGTGAAATGCTCTTTACGTTATGTGGCCCTTAAACTCCAGATTTACAGCCTGGTTTTAGAAAATCATTGTCAGGGCAGTACAACGTGTGAGCATCTTTACAGCTCGTATATTCAAATGTTGGTTTTTCAAATTCAAATCCAGCCTGCTCAGTGAAGTACTCCTTTGTAAGCTGAGTTTGTTCACTTGAGTTTCTCACCATGTAGAGGGCACCCTTCTTCTTGTTGGAAGCTTCCACCTTGTCGTCATCCGGAGTGCTGGGAGCGATGGCGGTTTTGGGCCCGAGAACCTGCACCAGAAGCAGAGGGATGAGTCTCCATGTGTGTGACAACGAGCACAGAACAGCTTCTGATGCACGGATGAAGTAACGCTGATAGCGGAGGACGGGTTCGTCTTGTTCGCTCTGTCCTACGGCTTCATGTGGATTAAAACAAGGTTTCGATGAACTGAAAGTATGCTCTGTAAACCTCCCCCCTCCCGTCTCTCTCATGAGGCCAGTTCACCCTCTGCTCTTGTTGTAAAGGAAGTGTTTACAATGCCGCCTTGGCACAGAGCTGGCGCGTTACAAAGGACGGCATTGTGCCCGGCGGTTCCCACGCCAACTAACGCGCTGGCAGTGAGATGCATTCATCCCACTTATAGCTTCTCCTCTGCACTGATGAGCTTTGAGGGCTAAAGTTCGAGGACTGACCGCTGTGACTTCGGCCGGCTCATCTCCTTCCTCCAGCAGGTGCAGCTTCGCTCTGCCGTTCCTCTCGTTGTCTCTGATGCCGATGGCGAGCTCGGAGGCCTTCAGGCGCTCGAAGCGGTTGCACTCGCTGCCGCACCACTGATAGATGTCCTGCAGGAGGAGGAAGAACACAGGGAAGGAGAGAAGATAAAGGTTTTAGGCCTTAACTAGTTCACCGAAAACACATTCATTTGACACCTGAGTGGACTCGGTTACTGACACACAGTGATTATTAGGAACATACAAGGAACAGTTAGCAGCTTCAAGTACAGTCATGACTAAATAAATGTGAAACCTTCTTTCATGTCGGATAGCAAGGCTGTCGGATTGTCAAGACGGAGGTCCAGATACAAGGAGGGCTTGATGCTGGAAGGCTCATTAGTTGTTCATTATTGTTCATAGTTGTCAGTGAAAAACAGTCGGCACAATGAGCATAGCCTGACCATCTGAGCTTGTTTTTGGAAGTGGCCAGCGTTAAAATACAGCAATGAGGCGGGTCAAAGCCAGCGAGGGCCTTATGGATAAATAAAAATCAGTGTCTGTCTCAGCTTAGAGAGAGTGAAGGCCTCCCAGCCTCAGCATACAGCTCACACTGATGAGGAGTATCAGCAGCGATAGACCTCAGTGTCTTAGAGGTCACAGCTGAAGCACACGTTAATGAAATCTTCTTAAAATCCAAAACTTTAAATATGTGTTTTCTACAACGCAGCAGGAAACATGATTTGTTCCAGTGAAAACAACATTTTTTATTTTAATACGCTCATTATTTTAGTCATATATTGTAGTCACCTCCCCATTTATCTGAACTCCGGGACAGGTGTACTCTTTCCATTTTAGTGATCGTCATACCATCTCGCCATTATAATCTTATATTGACAAGACTATATTAATCAATATTTTTGGTTCTGTTGAGGATCAGGTTGTAAAATTAAAAGAGAAAAAAGCAGCTCACCTTTCCCAGGTCGATGATGAAGCAGTCTCCCTTGTTGAAGCTCGACCAGGCGAACGGCACTTCAGTGGCTCGGATGAACCTGCGCCCCTTAACGTGAAGCACGCGTTGTACGTTGGCGTCGTTGGTGACGACATGCTTGAAACCGGAGGCCACGCCTCCTTTCTGGGGACAGGAAATGATCATTTGGATGAGGTTTAACACAGGGACCCTAAAATCTCAGCAATGATGGGAATGTGTACATGGGAACTCGTTTACACCACAACTTTAATTACAGACACGAAACAGGCTGCTACGTCACAAAAGGTTTGAGGAGGCTCGGTGTGTGGAGCTGGTCTGAGAGCTGGGGGGGGGCATGAGGTCAGCACGACACTGTAAAACCACAAGGAACAAAGGGCTGGGAACAATGCTGTCAGACAATGAGACGGCCATAAAGCCCAGCTAATAAGGACAATCAATCTTATGAAAGGAAACTAACATCTCTGGACAGGAGGGATCACGTCGTACCTGGGGGGTGGGACAGTGACGCATCGTGCCGTCCTTGGTGAAGCCATTAGACAAAAACAAAACAAATGCAAACGCTGCAAATGAGCAACACAAATACGTGGAGGCGACTGTTTGGACGGGTTTGAAGCTGAGATCACCAACAACAACTTCCCAGTTCCCAAACCGTCCACTAAAGCGTCTCCACCGTCCTCCACAGCTCCACACAGAGCACAGAGCGCTGGTGGCGTCTGGAGGGTTGGCCGTGCAGACCTCCACAATGAAAACCACATTCATGCTGATGATCGTCTTTGTGCCGAGTGCCAGTAAAGTTTTCCACCGTGGCAACAATGCAGGCTCTGTTTATTCTCAGGATTGTTTCCTGACAGCGGAGTTACCAAAACTATGGAGAGATAATTAGGTTTGGTTCTGTTTCTGCCTCCTTCCTCTGTGGACCGACATGTGCAGAGCAGAGCTTCAGCCCTTCCACAAAACTAGTAAACAAGCATTTGGGATAATTACACTCAGCTAAACCCAGGATGGGGGATGGATCCTTTACCGGCGATGAAAAGCAGATGGCTGGTAAAAGTGGCTTGTGCTTCAAAATGTCGTCCTTTGAACAGGCTGGCTGCCGGAGTTACAGCCGATCAGCCCGTCGGACACACCCTACAATGTAAACAGCAGCGAGGGAATGTTGTGTTTCCTCTGAACTTAAGACTCATCAACGCTCTGCCAAAGTTCACGGGGAGCCGACAATCATTAATCAGGAGATATATGTCGGGCACAGAGAGTTCTGGGGCAGATCGCGGCTCCTTGTGTGTCACATTACTCATCAGAACTCTGGGTTGTGCTTTTTTTTTTAAAACTGCACACTGAAAACAAAACAAAAAAGAAGCTAAAACATTCCAGGTTTCATCTTCAGGGTTCCCAACATGTTCCAGTCCGTACACAGAGCAGTGTCCACCTGCACCCTGGCACTTACTAAACACGCTCCCTCGACTTCAATGGAAAACATCCTGAGCTCAAGGAAAGATGTGACGGAGGATTCGTGAGGATGTAGAAAAGCACAACTCAACAAAATTGAATTGAATTGAACTGCTAAAAGAAACCAACTGTATTTACTCTTCGTTGCTGCCACAAGAAATTGTGGAGCAGAAGTATCTCATTTGCATTTGTAGCGGATGTTACCAGGTGTCCTACACTAAAGGACATAAACCAGGAAGCACTGAAGCACCTTCCCTTGATTCAGTTCAGTTTTATTTATAGATTCACTGCATACGTCATCTGAAAGCACTTCACATGTTACGCTGAAGAACTTTCAAGAGTATGTTACAGAGAGAAACTCAACAAATCACAAGATTCGCTTTGAGAAAGCTCCTGAGAAGCAGTAAGAACAGGAAGAACCCCCGACAGCAGAACTAGGCTCAGGGAGGGCACACACCTGTGACAGCAGGTAGGGCTGATCAGGGCTGATTCTTCTCAGGTAGGACCCATCTATTCATCCATTATCTATACATCTTAATCCTCACTAGGGTCATGGGGGGCTGGAGTCTATCCCAGCTGACTCAGGGTGAAGGCAGGTTCACCTGGACAGGTAACCAGTCTATAGGTAGGAACCCTTCAAATCAAACTGAAACCTAAAATCCTGCAGCCTTGACAGTGTGATTCTGTGCTCGGATGAAATATGACGGACCTGTGACACGTTGCCGTACATGGCACCACGACATCAATCCCAAAAATGACTGATGAGGTAAAAATAAATACACGTGAGTCCTTCTGATCTCCTCCAGCTGTTGGGGGGGTAGGAGGACAACTCCTGATCTAAAGTCTCTAAAGCTCACCTGGTACTTGACGCCTGTCTTGAAGTACCCCAGAAACGTGTTGGACTCGTGGTTCTGCACCTCCCTGAACTGCACCGGCCCGCCGCCCAGGAAGTCATCCAGCTGTGTGGCAAAGATGGCCGCCGCCCCACTCTCGTCCTGGGAGCACTCCTCGCCTGCAGAAAAACAGACACTTGTCCTCAGGCAGTTATGAATAATTTCCTCACAAAGACGGTGTTTCTCACAGAGCAGAGCGCAGCACTTCAGCCTCTGCAAGTGACCTTATGGGCCGTCTGAGTCACAGCTGGAGGCTTTAAATCTCATCAGCCACGATTGCAGCGGAGTCGCTTTGCATCCTGCTGTTAAGAGTCAGATGGCACACAGCATGGATAAAACTATTTCATAATTTGACATGACGAACATGGTTCCCAGACAGAGGGATTATTTGTGTTCCCGTGCTGTTTCTGCTGTAACGTCTTGCAGATGGTTGCAGAGCGGTGCGTGCTGGCACTGGGGGAGAATTGGCAGAGTACGAGCAGTAAAAACATGCAGCGACCGGAGCCGGTCTCTTGCGGCCTGTTGGGCTGTTCCAGATGTGAGTCATGCAGCCTCTTCATTTAGCTCTCGGTTTCTGTTATGCAACTCAAGATTTACTGAGGTTGGAAAAAGTAGCTGAGAAAAGAAAAAGCAGATAAAGTTGCACGTCGCCGCGTGAGCCGAGAGAAGAGCCATGCAGCGGGGAGGAATTTCACAAACCGGTGTGAAATTCAGGGCCGAAAATTTCAGCGACTCATACGACAGAGGAAGTGTCAGCACAGAGGTCAGAAGTGTGATGTCGACACCCGCAGCTTTAGTGACGGAGCACGGCTGTAGTCTCATCAGACCTGAAGCTACACATGCATGTCTGCAGGGTTTTGAATATTGAATTTCATTTAAACTTCTTCCACGAAGGCACACGCTCAAGATCAGCTTTGAAGGAAGTGACTTCTAAAACTGTGGATGTGTCGTAACTTGCTGTCCTGTCACCCAATTTGATAAGACACAGGCGTTCCTCTGATGTACCTGCATCACTGTGTGTACAGTAAGGCTGTTGTTGACGTGTAATTAATGCATGAGGTGGATGAATCACTGATTAATAGACACCATGATGCATTCTGGTCCAGTATCATTAACTTACTGTAAACAGGCCAAGAGTAAACCAAACCCTCCGCTTTTCATCTGTTTCTTATTTTTATTATTCATATTTACACCAAAAAAGTAAAACTGATGACTAGAAGCTTCATCAAAAGCTTTATAAATGGTGTCTCTGTCGCTTCTAACTATAAAAAAGTCAAAAAAATAGGTTTCCCGTTCACACGCTGGCCGATGTTTTATTGCAGTTCAAACAAGGAGAATTTGCTTTGGTGACCTCGAATAACAGCAGAACCCTCAGTAAATCATATAACCATTCGCTCAGACACATAAAGCAAGTGGGGAAACCATAAAATGGACATTCGTAAGACAATGAAACCTTCCAAAAGATAACAGGATTGGAGGGTGGAGCAAACAAATGTCAGCTTTTAGGGAACATGTTGCCGTTTAGTGGCTTCTGCTACCAACCAATGCAAGACTGTTCCTGTTTTGAAAGCAGCTCTGGCATCTACGTGGTTTTTTTCTTTTGCGATGTAAGCTGACAGAAAAACAGCCGTCGTGTTTGAGGCTCCGAACAGCTCCGACGTGATTAAACTAACTTAAATCATGTCGACCGCGCCAACGAAACACGGGCGTGTGTCCTCACGTCTTACCCAGCCACATGTGAATGCTGTACGACGGTGCCGAGGTGGTGAAGAGCAGCAGGTAGGCGTCCCCGGTGTAGAAGCTGCCGTGCAGGGGCTTGGGAACAGGCTTGAGGTCCATGTTCTCGATGCGCCACACCTGCAGCCCCGGCGCCTTCCCTGCAGTTTCAAACTCCCTATGGGAAACCATGGTGGCTCTGAGACATGGGAGAGACAAACAAAGGGCATAAAGACATGATGTGGGGATGCAGGAGGCCGCTGGGAGTGATTTCAATGATTTTTGCCTTGCAAAACTGCTGCGAACTCGTAAAGCCTAATGCACGCTGAGAAGCATGAGTGCACAAACACAATACGAGAGGGCTGTTTATTTGCATCGATACCATGATGTGCTTCCTGAACAATGCATTCTTGTGGGGAACAAGTGAGAGAAGCTCACCCACAGTGGGTAAAAATACATGTGGCATCCTAACAGGAGGCCTCTCACCGTATCTGAACCTTCAGTCAAACCAGTCCGACTAGTTCCTAAACCTTCAATTATTTCTGCTCCTGTCACTTCTGTAAATTCTTCAGATGCATTACATGGTTTTCTGACACTCTCTGTATCAGACATCAACTGTACGTCAGTGGCAGGTAAAATGAAAGGCAAAATTAGCTCTTATTGTCAGATATTCTTAAAAATGCTGGAATCAGCTTAAAGTTACACCGACTGTCATTTAGAGTTTTGGATCACGTTCAAATCTTTGATTTTGAAAATGAAACTATAAAACATGTGAGATTATCTGAATTAAACTGTTTCTAAAGACAGAAACCACACCGACGCAGGAACTTTGTACCGTTATGAGGCGAAATTGAATCAGCAAATCATATCTCTGATCACACGAACCAGATAGTGACCGCTATCAACAGCGCTGACCCACTTCGTGGAGGTAATATCACTTAGTTTTATCTTAAACAGCGTCAGGAAGTGAAAGCTGAACTAGATATTATTATTACTACCACTACATGTGTCCGTATAACCTGCGGGCAAACTGGCATTTAGACTGATGGGAGGAGTTTTAAATAAAAACATCAGACTGTATCTGGTGACTCTTTGCACCACGAAGGTTGAAAGATTATTCAGAACGGCGCTCTGCACGATTACACAAGAGCCAGATTACAAGTGTGTGTGGGAGCAGGATTACTGCTGCAGAGTCGCCTGCGATGACGTCGCCACCTCTTCCACACATCTCCTCTCCTCTGGGATCCACATGAGGTGCAGGTAGCTCCATCCCACTGCTGCTGACGGGGCACTATTTACACCCATTAGGAGATTACATGAGGAAGCTGTTGCTCACGCCAAACACACACGAATCCAAACACATCACCACCTCCTGAAGGAATATTGTCATTGTGGAGTTTGTTCAGCTGTGTGTAAACGGGTGGCCTGCAGCTCGGGTTTCAGAGAGCAGAGACAACACCCAGTGGATTTCCTGGAACACGCTGATCAATAAGTGCTGTATCACGTCTGGAGGATCCGTGTGCATTAAGGGTCTGGGATCAGAGCAGATTATTACTGCAGGTCTGTGGGGATAAAAGCATCATTAACTTCATCTAATCTGCTGCTTCAACCAGCTTCTCTCACTGAACTCACTTCAGGCTGCTTCTCTTATTCACTTAAATATAAACTTGCACACTGAAAGAATAAAAAAGGAAATTATGAATCCAGGTTTCAATGAAGCTGCTTCCATTTTTTTTCCTTTTCCTTTTTTTTTTATTACATAACATCCAAACCACTACTTCCTGCACTTCTCTGGCAGCTTTCAGCGCTCGATTTAATTCCCAAGGAAGAAACAGAGAAGAAACAGAAGAAGAAGAAACGTCCATTCATGTGAGGCAATAAGTCAGCGTTTCCATCACAAGCTGCTCTGAATCCTCTGTTTTCGTCTCTCTGGCTGCTCTGAGTCATGAAAGCGAAATGAACGGAGACTTTCCACATCTGGAAATTCACTCACTTGAAACTTGAAGAAGCAAAAACGCTGAAAACAGAAAAAAAAAACTCAAAACGCTGCGATCATGAGTGAACTTACGCACGAGAAATAAGAAATTACGCACGACTTTTTTTTTTTTTTTTAATTGGTTTTCTGCTATGGATGGGCAGATTCGCGTCCTGGATGTGCCAACACATGCATGCAGGCTGACTGGAAGTGGAAGAAAAAAAAAACAACAACAGTAAAAAAGTGAACTTACAGTTTGCAGGATGAACCAGGAGAGGAGCAGAAACGTTGATGGAGGTTGTAGATGAGGGAGTGGAGCGCGTAAAGAGCGTCTTTGTGCTTTAATGTGTGGCAGGGAGGGAGGTGGGGGAGTGTTCACGGGTCTGTCTGAGGAGGAGGACCAGAGGAAGCACTGATTGGTCGACAGCAGCGGTGCATGCAGTGCAGAGATGTTTCTATGCAGCGCTCTCAAAGATGCTTTTAAACAAAAATGTCTCGCGAAAGTGGAAAGCTTTTCCAGTTAAGCGCTGCGTGAACTTGACTTCGCTGCGTCCTGAGCAGAGCAGACAGGAGGGACAAAGTTCGGTTGGGTTCTTAGAGGTTGAATCAACAGCTGGTGTGTTTGACTTTGGAATTAGGGAATCATGTGACTGAAGGAAAGCGAGGAAGCAACAGGCTTCATATGAACTCATAGGAAACGGTGGTTTAATTTTAACTCATGGTTTGACTTTTAACCCTCTAAAGCCCGAGCAGTTCCTGATGTGTTTGTGTTGTTTTGTTGCTGATGTAATATTTCTGCTCACTGTGGGCTCAGTTTTCAGTGACACAAAGTCATGCAGCTCTATGGAAACAGCACAGCTCTGGTTAGAACACGTCAGCTGTGCTTTATGACACATTTATGAAGCCGTCAATCATAGAAATAAAAAAATGTGTGTGGTATAAATAATGGATAAGTACAAGGTGGCTCTACATGCTATGGATGTTTTACTGCTTACATTTTTAATTAGTAAACTGCTCAGCATAAACACAAACTGCATTTCACTGAAAAGTCCCAGAATGGGTTTTTTCACATGACTGTCGACCACAGATGAGTCAGAAAGACTTCACAGTTCCACTTTTTTTGCTTTTTAAAATAGAATCCGACAACTGCAAATGGTTCTTCTTTTTGTTGCAATTTTCAAATTTAAAAAAAAGTGGAATTTTTAGTTAGTTTTTTTTTTTTTTCACCCCTGAAACTGAAAGTCACACATAAGTCCGTTATAGCAGGCCTATTCTGAGCTGCTTCTCTACGGGTCACGGCTGACTCACTGATGGTTCCAAGGTCGCACCGAGGAGCAGAGGGTTTTTGTTTTTACAGAATCTGGTGAGAGCAAATGGTTTATTTTTTCCATTTATACGAGAGATACAGAATCAAGTTTTCCTGTAGAAATGGACAAAATGATTGGTTTCATAATCTGAAAAGGAATCAACATGAGGAACATTTCCAAGTGCATGTTAGTCTTTCCAAAGTGTCGCCCACACTGGAAAAAAATGGTCGCTTCTTGCATTTTTATAACCTCAATAAAATGGATGTTTTTCACACAACTCTGCACATCGGCTCTAGAAGGATATTTCACCGTGCTGACAGTGTCTTCTAACAATGTGCTGATGGCTTCCTGTCCGCTGCTCATGAGGCACGTTGCATTCGTGTGATTTATTTTTCTTTGGATCGCTCTAACTTGTTTCAGCATTTGTCCAACCACAGGCTGCAGTTTGGCCAAATAGAAGTTTTGTCTTGTGACTGTTAGTCGCAGCTGAGTCACTCGTGTTTTCTGAGATGAGAAACAAAGAATTTTTTAATATTTAAAACAAAAATCTGTTGCCAATAGTTTGTGTTTGTAGATGTTTGATAATGTATCACAGAGATTTAGATTTGATCAGTTTTCGCAATGGAGAAGCGCGGTACACATCCATCCATCCATCATCTCTACACCTTAATCCTCACTAGGGTGGTGGGAGGCTGGAGTCTATCCCAGCTGACTCAGGGTGAAGGCAGGTTCACCTGGACAGGTAACCAGTCTATCACAGGGCTACACTTAGAGACAGACAACCAAGCACACTCACATTCACACCTACGGACAATTTAAAATCACCAATTAACCTCAGCATGTTTCTGGACTGTGTGGGAGGAAGCCAGAGAACCCGGAGAGAACCCACGCTGCACGGGGAGAACATGGAGACTCCACGCAGAAAGATCCCGGGTGTCCTCACCGGGACGCCAACCAGCCACCTTCTAGCTGCGAGGTGACGGTGCTAACCACCGAGACACCTGCAGCCCCACATGACAAACAATTATCTCCAAAGTTTCTGATAAATGTGTCATTCTTCCAGTTTTTAAATGCTAACATGCCGGCGGGAGGGTTAATGGAGAGTTCAACCACCGTTAAGTTCCCTGCAGTTTTAAAAACCACCTCTGCAGACATTAGATGCCACAAATACCTCTAAGAGAGGATGCAAAATATGGATTCTGACTGCTGCTGCCCCAGCAACACATTATTTAAAGCAGCTCCTTTCTGTTTGTTACCGCGCTGCCCAGAACTTGCTGAACAGCTCAACATTTGCAAACATCAAATCCCAGTCCAGACCTGAAGGCGTGCTCACACAGGTCACACCCTGCCTCTATCTCTTCAGTGCTTTCTCCTTCTTTGGAAAGACTGTTTATTTTAACACAAACAGATTGCTCGCCTCAGAGGTGATGAACAGCGTGACTGTTTATCTGTAAATGTTATCTACATAAGGATTACAAAGCGCCATGCAGACAGGAAGCCCCGCACAAGAGCATTAGCATGAAGTCGCTGCTCGACACCACAGCAGGCAGTTATATGTAATTATATCTGATCTGGTTTCCGACTAGTCACGGCCTGTTACGGCTGAAAAAAATCTTCCTGTAGTTGCTGATGGCTTTGCTGCAGCGTCAGAGTGTCTCTACTGCAGGCTGGAGGACAAGCTTTATGGACAGTTCTGTAAAGGCTCCACTGTGATCACAACAGAACAACATGTGATATTTGTGTTTCTGTCGATGTGTGCGCTCATTTAAATATTCAAATCAGATTTGACCGAGTGAGCCGAATGAATCAGTCGAAAAAGGAAACATCTGTGCCGTTGCCTTTGTGGCGTTCATCTCCTGGGATCAACAGTTTCCTCCATTCATTCCTTTCCATCTAAACCAGTTAGTTTTCCACAGAATTGATCCGATTCATCGCTTTTAGTCGCTGGTGAGGAGTCTGCTTCAGCGCTCTGTACTCGTTGGTTTATCTGTGGGGCTGTGGGCCCTCGCTGGTGCCAGACCGGGGGTCGGAGTCTTATCGTCAAACAGGACGTGACATGGAGGCTGCATGGCTGGCTGCCAGAGGCCCATTGTGCCACACACTGACAGCTGGCTGATGCACATCCTCAGCGACAATACAACCAACCCAAAATGGATTAGACCCCGATCAGCCGAGGCTTAGATGCCACCAAAGTTCACCAAATGAAGCAGAAATGTGACCCGTACTCATGCAAAGAATAATCCGGATGTAAAACAACATACAAATGACCAAACAACAGTTTACACTGACTGAAGTTTATCTGTGTGGACAAGCTGTAAATGTCGCGACTTAAAGTATAGGTCCAGATGAAGGGAAAGTTTTCATTTTCTATGCGAGATAAGAAGATTAATACCACTCTTGCATCAAAATATGAAAAGAACCCTCAGTAGTTCAGTTTGCTGCCACAACACCGTCAGACCACAGACTTTACATAAAGATAGCCATCGTGACAGCACACATTTGTTTGTTTTTGAAGCCTTGAGTTTGGAGCTTTAACCATCGCTAACGTGGTGTTTTTAAATGACTGAGGGTGGATCGCTGAGAACTCAAAGAAAACATGCACGGCAATCCAGACGTACCCGCTTTATCAAGTCTTTTAGTCTAAACAGGAACCCCGGTTTACAAAGAAAAAAAACTCATTAGAAAGATACTCACCGAGGTAACTAATCAAGTGAGAAGTTGAACCGTTTTTCATACACTTCTACACGACCTGACTTTATTTTGCAACCAGAGAAGTCGCCCCCTGCTGGCTGGTGCAGGTTTGAAGCACTTTGGTTTCACTTTTCCCACCTGGAGGCTACGTCTGTCTTTGATTTACAGTCATGCATTCAGCCAAGAAATAGTCTAGCTCCAGAAAACCTGTAAAACCACAATGTGCTGTTTTTACGCTTCAGTTTTTGTGTATATTAAACACCACAGACGAGCTGGATTTGTTTTCACTTGTTTGCTGTTTAGCTACTTGCTCCACAAAGTGTGCACAGTAAATACATGATAACTAGTTCAGGCACTAACCACTAACTACGGGAGTCACACGTCAGCCAAACCAAACCTGCTGCAGGCACAGAAGCAAACGTCTCTAACCTTTAACTGCCATAAAACAGACATCACTAGGCTACTATACAGAAGTTCAAGTGAATGAGGGAAAGACCAGAACCAGTGAGCTGCAGCTCGGTGATAGTGGACCGCTGCGGCTGAAGATAACCTTTAAGCCATTAATGGCTGTTTTTCACAGCGCTGACTCAAACCTCCAGCTGGTGAAACAACATGTGATCGACTGTTGTGGTCCGCCAAGTCCATGAACACTCAGGCGAAGGAGGGCGTGACCAGGTCTCTGCCCCCCCCACCGGGTGTGTGGGCGGTCAGATAAGGACAGCACAGCTCCATGGTGACGGCTCCAGAAAGGCATTCGTCACTTTGAATACCATGAAGGAAGCTGTCAGGAGCCTGGATGAAGATAACCTGTATTGTCCACCAGACTGACCCCAGGACAAACATATCCAAGACCTCCTGGAAGACTTAAAACCAGAACAGATTGCAGCAGGAGATGGAAGACAGTCTACACTTTTAATTCAGTAGAAACATCATCATCTTATGAATGGTGTAATTCTGAAGCTACGTGACAGTGTTTATAAGAAAGGTCTGATAGTTTATTTAATTTATTAACTTATCAAAGCAGCACAGCCCACAGAATCAACATCCTGATAGCACAAAGAGCAAACAAGGATCTAGCTGCGGACTGCACGGTGTCTTGGTGGTTAGCATCGTGGCCTCACAGCTAGAAGGTCGCTGGCTGGCGTCCCGGTGAGGACACCCGGGATCTTTCTGTGTGGAGTCTCCATGTTCTCCCCGTGCAGCGTGGGTTCTCTCCGGGTTCTCCGCCTTCCTCCCACAGTTCAGAAACATGCTGAGGTTAATTGGTGATCCTAAATTGTCCGTAGGTGTGAATGTGAGTGTGCTTGGTTGTCTGTCTCTAAGTGTAGCTCTGTGATAGACTGGTTACCTGTCCAGGTGAACC